TGGGGATTTTGAGGTGTTTTTTTTCCGGGATTTTGGGGTGATTTTGGGGCGTTTTGGGGTGATTTTGGGGTGATTTTGGGGTGTTTTAGGGTGATTTTGGGGTGATTTTGGGGTGTTTTTGGGGCTGTTCTCACCATGATGTTGGGCAGCGTGGCGTAGCGGGGCTCGTTGAGCCGCCGATCCCTCAGCACCGCCGGCAGCCGCAGTTTGGGGGTTTTGTCCGGGATTTTGGGGTGGTTTTGGGGTGATTTTGGGGTATTTTTGGGGCGTTTTGGGGTGTTTTAGGGTGATTTTGGGGTGTTTTAGGGTGATTTTGGGGCTGTTCTCACCATGATGTTGGGCAGCGTGGCGTAGCGGGGCTCGTTGAGCCGCAGGTCCGCCGTCAGCACCGCCGGCAGCCGCAGCCGCAGCGTCTCCAGGCCCCCGTCCACCTCCCGCTGCACCCGAACCGCGCCCGACTCCAGCTCCAGCCGCGACGCAAACGTGCCCTGGCGGGGGGACTGGTGGGACTGGGAGGGACTGGGAGAGACTGGGAGTGACCCCAGTAGGGACTGGGAGCTACTGGAGGGGACTGGGGGGGAACTGGTGGGACTGGGAGTCACTGGGAGAGACTGGGAGGGACTGGGAGTGACCCCAGCAGGGACTGGGAGCTACTGGAGGGGACTGGGGGGGAACTGGTGGGGACTGGGAGGGACTGGGGGGGACTGGGAGTGACCCCACTAGGGATTGGGAGCTACTGGGAGCCACTGGGAGGGACTGGGGGGGACTGGGAGCTACTGGGAGTGACTCCAGTAGGGACTGGGAGTGTCCCAGTGTGGATTGGGAGCCACTGGTGGGACTGGGAGTGACCCCAGTGTGGATTGGGAGTGTCCCAGTAGGGACTGGTGGGACTGGGAGATACTGGGAGCCACTGGGGGGGGGACTGGGAGTGACTCCAGTAGGGACTGGGAGCCACTGGGAGCCACTGGGAGCTACTGGGAGTGACCCCAGTATGGATTGGGAGCTACTGGGGGGGACCCCAGTGTAGATTCGGAGCTACTGGGAGGAACTGGGAGTGACTGGGAGTGACTGGGAGGCACTGGGAGTGACCCCAGTGTGGACTGGGAGTGTCCCAGTATGGACTAGAGGGACTGGGAGGGACTGGGAGTGTCCCAGTATGGACTGGGAGCCACTGGGGGAGAACTGGGAACCACGGGATTTATCCCCCCCCTTTACCGCAAGGGATTATGGGATTTATCCCCCCCTTACCGCAAGGGATTGTGGGATTTATCCCCCCCTTTACCGCAAGGGATTGTGGGATTTATCCCCCCTTTACCGCAAGGGATTGTGGGATTTATCCCCCCCTTTACCGCAAGGGACTGTGGGATTTATCCCCCCCTTTACCGCAAGGGATTATGGGATTTATCCCCCCCTTTACCGCAAGGGATGCTGGGATTTATCCCCCCTTTACCGCAAGGGATTGTGGGATTTATCCCCCCTTTCCCGCCACCGAGGGCCGTTTCCCGTCGTGCCCCGCGCGCGGCCGTTACCTGAGGCCAGTCCAAGATGGCGGCGAGGAGCTGCCCGGTCTGGTTGCAATCGTCATCGATGGCCTGAGGGACACGGCCGTCTATAGGGGCTCTATAGGGTTCTATAGGGGATCTGCGGGGTTCTATAGGGGACCTGCGGGGGATCCCGGCCCAGGGACGCGCGGGGCCCCCCCCCGGGGCCTGCGGGAGGTCCCTGAGGGCCTCTGAGGGGCGAGTCCGGGGGGTTCTATAGGGGTCCGGGGGGGTTCTATAGGGGTCCACAGAGGTTCAGAGGGGATCTGTAGGGCTCCATAGGGGGTCTGTAGGGTTCCTTAAGGCCCCATGGGGATCCACAGGTGCTCTATAGGGTTCCTTACGGATCTAAAACGCTCCGTAGGGTTCTGTGGGGGAGCTGTAGGGTTCCAGAGGGATCTATAGGGCCCCATGGGTGCTCCACAGGGATCTATGGGGGTCCACAGGGTTCCATAGGTGCTCTACAGGTGCTCTATAGGGTCCCACAGGTGCTCTATAGGGTTCCATAGGCCCCACAGGTGCTCTATAGGGTCCCACAGGTGCTCTATAGGGTTCCATAGGCCCCACAGGTGCTCTATAGGTGCTCTATAGGGTCCCACAGGTGCTCTATAGGTGCTCTATAGGGATCTATAGGGTCCCCCAGGTACTCTGTAGGGTCCCCCAGGTGCTCTACAGGGTTCCACAGGTGCTCTATAGGGTTCTATAGGGTTCCATATGGATCTATAGGGGCCCCCAGGTGCTCTATAGGGTCCCACAGGTGCTCTATAGGGTTCCATAGGCCCCACAGGTGCCCACAGGTGCTCTATATGGTCCCACAGGTGCTCTATAGGGTTCCATAGGCCCCACAGGTGCTCTATAGGTGCTCTATAGGGATCTATAGGGTCCCCCAGGTGCTCTATAGGGTTCCATATGGATCTATAGGGTCCCACAGGTGCTCTATAGGGTTCCATAGGCCCCACAGGTGCCCACAGGTGCTCTATAGGGCTCTGCAGGGTCCCCCAGGTGCTCTATAGGGTTCTATAGGGTCCCCCAGGTGCTCTACAGGGTCCCGCAGGTGCTCTATAGGTGCTCTATAGGGTTCTATAGGGTCCCCCAGGTGCTCTACAGGGTCCCGCAGGTGCTCTATAGGTGCTCTATAGGGTTCTATAGGGTCCCCCAGGTGCTCTACAGGGTCCCGCAGGTGCTCTATAGGTGCTCTATAGGGTTCTATAGGGTCCCCCAGGTGCTCTACAGGGTCCCGCAGGTGCTCTATAGGTGCTCTATAGGTGCCCCACCGGCGTCCCCGGGCTCACCTGTTTGCCCAGCAGCACCAGGTGCGGCTGCAGGCGCCCGGCCAGCGCCGCCAGCGCCGTGGCCACCTCGCGGGGCCCCACGGCCACCCCCTCCCCCACCTCGGCCAGCACCGCCCGGTCAGCGCCCAGGGCCAGGGCCGTGCGCAGGGACTCCTGCGGGGGGGAAAGGCTTCAAAATGTACCAAAACCGCCTGAAAACACCCCAAAAACTGCCCCAAAAACAACCAAAAAACAACCCAAAAATACCCCAAAAATACCCCAAAAACTGCCCCAAAAACAACCAAAAAACAACCAAAAAATACCCCAAAAATACCCCAAAAACTGCCCCAAAAACAACCCAAAAATACCCCAAAAACACCCCAAAAATAACCAAAAAAT